CTTCCGTAATCACCCTTTCCCTGAGAGTGCCCTCCCCCTCCTGGCACCGGGTCCTAACCTTTCTTCATCTCAGATCTGCTCTGAGACAGCTGGAGAAAGAGGGCCAACGTTGTCAAAGAAGAGTGGTTATGTGTTAGCTGTGGCCCTCTTTGCCCTCTGACATGGCCTTTATCTTATTATTATTATTTTCTTTATAAGCTGAGTACTGAGGAAATGAGCCCCTTCTGAGTTCCCGTTTCATTGGGCAGAAGATGTTGTCATACCTGATTGAGAGCTGGTAGCTTTTTGTTGTTTCGTTACCAGTAGGGAAGAAGACATTGAAAAGGTTGGTCAGTGCTATTAAACCATCTGGTAACTTGATCTTACCCTTCGCCCAAGGTCACACCTGTCTGCCCTGGAGCTTACAGAGGAAACAGTGCAGGTGAATGATGATCGGATCTGTAAATCCTCACCTAATTCACAATGAAAAGTTTGGTTTTGTTTTAAAAAAGACAAAATGAGGGAAAGGTCTGGTCACTTTAACAGGCAGTTCTCTTAGAAATAGTTGCGCAAGTTGTTGGGGGCCATCAAGTCAGTCCTGCACGGTAGCAATCGGGTGCAACACAATGCAGCACTGCCTGGCCCTGCGCCGTCTCACCGCATGCCGACGCCGGAGCCCGCTGTCGCAGCCATGGTGTCAGTCCATCTTGCTGAGGGTCTTCCTTTTTTTGCTGCCCCTCTACTTTCCCAAGCACGATGTCCTTCTCCAGGGACGGGTCTCTCCTGACCGCATGTCCAGTGTGTGAGAGGACGGCTTACCATCCTCTCCTCTAAGGGGCGTCTGACTGTACTTCTTCCCAGACAGATGGGTTTGTTCTGTTTGAAGTCCATGGTACCTTCAAGATTCTTTGCCAGCAACATAAGTCAAATGCATCGATTTCTTCATTGGTCTTCCTTATCCACCTTTCACATGCATAGGAGACCAGTGAACATAGCAGTTTGACCAAGGTCTCAGAGTAACCTCCCTGCCTTTCCACACTTGAAGGGGTTTTGTGCAGCAGATTTGCCTCATGGAATGCTGCATTTTATCTCTTGACTGCTGCTTCCACGAGCACTGATTGTGGATTCAAGCAAGACAAATCCTTGGCAACTTCATTCTTTCCTCCATTGATCGTGCTGTTAGCTGTTGGTCCAGCTGTGAGCATTGTGGTCTCTTTACACTGAGCTGTAGTCCGTCCTGAAGGCTGCAGTCCTTGACCTTCATCAGCACGTGTTTCAAGCACTCTTCACTTTTCAGCAAGCAAGGCAGTCTCATCTGCATATCACAGATTGTTAATTGGCCTTCCTCCAATCCCGATGCCACCTTCTTCTGCATATAATCCAGCTTCTCCGATGATTTGTTGAAAGTCAGGAAGATATCATTGGACCAAAAAAAATCCACTTTGGTTAAAAAAGTAAAACCCTTGAGTTTTAATATTTCAATTGATTAATATGCCATTATTATAGATTTATTGCCATTTCTCATACTTGTAAACAAAACAAACAAAAGCCCCTGAGATATCATAAATCTTATCTTCATTTTTAGAGGATGATAAAATTTCATGTTTCCATGGCAAAGAGAAGACGGTCACATCTTATCTCCTTGGAACATCAGGAACCCTGATTTGACACATTGAGACCATAGCGCTTTGAGGAACACCGAAGGGGCAATGGTTCATGCTCAGCTGTTAAGTGAAGTGTCGGCCGGTTGAGCCCACCCGGCCAGCAGTTCCAGGAAGAATTAGCCCAGGAACCCGATGGGGCAGGTCTGCTCCTGCCACAGGAGGTCATGGGAGCTGAAACCCATCTCCTGGCTGCTAACACACTCTTCTTCATCGAGCTGTCTCCGTTTGTTTGTCTTGCACTCCGTGAATTACCCCGCTCCGGTTATTATTTTGGCCACCTAATTTTTTACCTCACACAGCATGCTTCCACTCTTTATTCTTAATTATGCTTCAGGAAAATCTGAGTATCAAAAAGTCAATCATGTCCTGAAATCTGAATTCGTGTGAGACCACAGATCCGAAGACCTGTCTCCTTTTTCTTATATGACCCCTTAGGATGTCAAGGATGTAAAGACTGGTCCAACAAGAATATTCCTTACAAACGAGTTACTGGGCCCAGAGGCTCAGGACCACCCTCTTGGGGGACACCAAGGTCAATTGGTGTAACATAGTGTACAGTGTTCTTTGGTGAGAAGTGATTGGGGTCTCATGAGCAACCTCTAAGGTGCAACTCCTAGTCTCTCCCTGACCAGAGGAAAGAAGAAAGATGAACATAACCAGTCCAGTGGCCTTAATTTAGGACCACGAACATCCGTCTCCACAGCCTGGGGAGCAGAAGAACGAGAGGGTGCCCAGCTCCCAGGGCTAACTGTTAGGTAGAGGGTCCTGCATGAGCAGAAAGAGAACTCAAAATCATCAACAGCACCAGGCTTACTGGGCAAAACTGAACTCACCCCTGTGTAATAGTCATCCGCCA